GCAGTCAAAACTTCAGTTGGTACTATCATAGTCCGAAGCACTCCGAATGGGTGAAGAGGAAACAATCTCAATTTTTCACAGTTGGGTTCAGAATTTGAAGAATAGAGCCTCAATACTTGGTGAACCGTTTACTGATGAAAGAGTAGTCAAAAAGATACTTCGATCTTTACCAAAACGTTTTCGGATGAAAGTAACTGCTATTCAGGAACACACAAGCTGGGAGAAGAAAAGTGTGGGAGAACTTATGGGAAGCCTACATACGTATGAACTTGAAGTGTTGGCTGATGATGAACCTGCAGTCAGCAGAAAAGGCAAGTCACTAGTCTTTGTAGCTGAAGCGGATCGTGAATCTGACACAGAAGACATAGATGATGAAGCCTTGGCCTTGCTAACAAAGAATTTTAAGAAAATTCTGAAAGGCTTCAATCGAAGGAGTCAAGGACAACCTAACAGGACACAGTACAAAAGTGGAAACTCCTCTTATCAGAAAACAGAAACACCCTCCTTTACTCAGAACAGTCAGCCTCAGACTGGTCGAACAAGACAAATCAGAAGTAACTCAACTGACACTGTTAGACCTCTAAACCGATCAGTGCAATGTCGAGAGTGTGAAGGATTCTGACATATACAATCTGAATGTGCAACGTATCTCAAAAGAAAGAAAGCTATGTGTGTGGCAACCCTAAGTGATGATGAGAAGGAAGCATCTAATGACCAGGCAAATGACAATGTGGGAAACTTCGTGGCCTTCTTCACAGCTACAGAGAATCAATCAGAAGAGAATGAAACAGATGAAGAATCGTACATATCATCAGATAACTTTGAAGAAAGGCATACTCAACTAGAAATGGAATTTGCTAAACTAGTTGGAAGTTGGGAACAACTGGTGAAAGTCAATAAGAATCTGAATGAAGATCTGAAGCAGCGAGATGAAATCCTGAAGAAACTAAACAATGAACTTGTCACAAAAGAAGATCTTATTACTCAGATAAGATCACGAGAGGGAAAATTGATAAAAGAACTGGAGGATCTAAAGAAGAACATCAAGATGATGGATACCACTTCTACCTTAGAAAAAATTCTGGATTCTGGCCGAAACCTCAATGATAAAAAGGGACTCGATTTTGAATGAGGAGAGTCCTCGAAGACAGCGCCAGTTTTTATCAAAGAAGGTACAACAGTTGGTAAATTAGTTCACAGTTATGAACAAGGTCAGACATCACAGTCAGTACAGATAAAGCAGAAAGGAATTATGCACACTCGGATTGCTGAGACTGAGACTGACAGAGTCAAATTTCAATCTCATTACTCAAAGTTCAAAACTAAATTTGTAAAAGTTAGACAATACGTACCCATCTGTCACTACTGTCAAACAGAAGGTCACACCCGATCTGAATGTTATTTCTTTTACAGAGATCAGAGGAAGGAGAAATATCAGAATAAGTCTATTACCCCCCTTCACAAAACAGGTTTGGGTCAGGAAATCAGAACTAATATGCTATCCCACAGTAGTTCTGACCGCTTCTATGACTGAAGCAAGATGGTATTTTGATAGTGGGTGTTCCAGACATATGGCTGGGAATGTCAAGTGTCTCATGGCTGTTTAACCTAGCAGTGGGTCAGTAACATATGGAGACAGACAAAAAGGAAAGTTAGTTGGAAAAGGTACTCTAAATGTACCAGGATTGCCTCATCTGGACGAAGTTCTCCTAGTCAGTGGTCTGAAGGCAAATCTTATTAGCATCAGTCAGCTGTGTGATCAAAATTGGAATGTGTGCTTCAATCGTGACTGCTGCAGAGTTCGTGATAAAGCAGACCAAGTGGTAATGGAAGGAACACGATCCTCTGACAATTGTTATGTTCTGACTAACGAAACAGCATGTCTAATATCTAAAACAGACGAATCAAAACGGTGGCATCGACGATTGGGTCACATAAACTTCAGAGATATGGATAAAATGATCAAATTAGATGCTGTTCATGGGATACCTAAGCTTAAAATGAACAGGAAGGAGTTTGTGGTGCATGTGCCATTGGAAAGCAATTAAGGGCTCCTCAGAAAGCAGTAAAAGTGATCACTACTGAGAGATGTCTAGAACTGGTCCATATAGACCTCATGGGACCAACTCAGATTGAAAGCATTGGCGGGAAGAAATACATCTTTGTGTGTGTAGATGACTTCTCTCGGTTCAGCTGGGTATACTTTCTGAGAGAAAAATCTGAGGCATTCAATGCCTTCAAGACTCTATGCATAAGAGTACAAAAAGAAAAGGACGAGCCCATTATAAAAGTTCAAAGACTGATAAGTGATCATGGGAAAGAGTTTGAAAACTCCTTATACTCAGATTTCTGCTCTAAAAATGGAATAACTCATGAGTTCTCGGCTCCTAGAACAACACAACAGAATGGTGTGGTGGAAAGAAAGAATCGGACCTTGCAGGAAATGGCCAGAGTGATGTTACACGCATCGCATCTGCCGCAGCGTTTCTGGGCTGAAGCAGTGCACATAGCATGTCATATAGTAAATAGAGTCTATCTCAGACCAGGTACGACTAAGACACCATATGAGATATGGAAAGGGAAGAAGCCGAATCTGAAGTACTTCCATGTGTTTGGCACAAGATGCTATGTTCTAATTGATAGGGAACAAAGGGGAAAGTTTGAACCCAAGAGTGATGAGGGTATCTTTCTTGGATACTCTCCAAACAGTCGAGCTTATAGAGTTTACAACAAACGAACTCAATAAGTCATGGAATCAGTGAATGTTGTTATTGATGATAACCCATGAGAATCAGATGAAACATCGGTGATTGATCCAGAGATAGACCTTCCTATCAGTGAGCCGTTAAAAACAACGGAGAAAACCAAATTGCCTGACACACATGATTCATCAGAAGAAGATAAAGAAAGACCAGAACAGGAGAACTCTCTCTCGGATGGTGATGGTAAGAATAAGCCCACCAGAACACAGAAAAATCATCCACCAGACAACATAATTGGTAATCCATTAGATGGAATGAACACCAGAAGTCGGATGAGAAGCAATCTGACAGAAATATCCGGATTTTCCTGCTACACCTCAAAAATAGAACCAAAAAATGTGAAGGAAGCCTTGCAGGATGATCTATGGATTAAGGCGATGCAAGAGGAGCTACATCAGTTTGACCGCAATCATGTGTGGGATCTGGTACCAAGGCCTAACCGTGTTAACATAATCGGAACAAAGTGGATCTTCAAAAATAAAACTGATGAAGCCGGAAATATTGCAAGAAATAAGGCTCGGTTGGTTTCTCAAGGATATACACAAATAGAGGGAATTGACTATGATGAAACGTTTGCCCGTGTTGCAAGACTAGAGTCAATCAGAATTTTGTTGGCAGTTGCATGTATTCTGGGATTCACACTGTTCCAGATGGATGTTAAGACAGCGTTCTTGAATGGGTATCTGCATGAAGATATCTATGTGGCACAACCTAAAGGTTTTGAAGACCCAGTTCATCCGACGCATGTCTACAAGCTCAGAAAAGCTCTCTGTGGGCTTAAACAAGCTCCAAGGGCATGGTACGAACGTCTGACACAGTATCTGTTACATCATGGGTATAACCGAGGGAGTGTTGATAAGACCTTGTTTGTTAAAACCACTGGAAGTCATGTTACTATAGCTCAGATTTACGTAGATGATATTGTCTTCGGATCTACTCTACAGAAATATACTGATGACTTAGTGAAGGTTATGAAGGAAAAATTTGAAATGTCCATGGTGGGTCAACTGACTTATTTCTTAGGACTTCAAGTTAAACAGAGTACTGAAGGCTACTTTATCTCACAAGAAACATATGCCAAGAATTTGATCAAAAAGTTCGATCTGGAGTCATGTAAAACTCCCAGAACTCCTATCTCCACTTCCACAAAGGTGTCAAAAGATGATATTGGCGTATCAGTTGATAACACAGTCTATCAAAGCCTAATTGGAAGTCTGCTATATTTGACTGCAAGTCGACCAGATATTATGTTCAGTGTTGGGATGTGTGCAAGATATCAATCTAATCCCAAATAGTCACATTTGATAGCTGCTAAACGGATCTTGAAATACCTCAAGGGCACAATTCAGTTTGGGTTATGGTATTCCAAGGACAGTGAACTCAGCCTGAGTGCATATTGTGATGCTGATTGGGCAGGAAATATTGATGACAGAAATAGTACATCAGGTGGATGCTTCTTTGTTGGAAAGAATTTAGTCTCATGGCTAAGCAAGAAGCAGAATTCAATCTCTCTAAGTACTTGCAGAGGCAGAATATATAGCAGCTGGAGGATGTTGCATTCAGTTGGTCTGGATGAAGCAAATGCTTCTAGATTATGGTCTCACACAAAGGACTATGACACTCTACTGTGACAATGTCAGTGCAATAAATATTTCAAAGAACCCAGTTCAGCACTCCAGAACGAAGCATATTGATATAAGGCTTCACTATATCAGAGACTTGGTAGAATCAAAGGAGATAGAATTGGAATATATTCAAACAGATAAGCAATTGGCTGACATACTGACTAAGCCTCTGGATGCAAATCGGTTTGAGATTCTCAGATCTGCTCTGGGAATCTGCAGGATTGATCAATAAGGTAGAATGATAACACAGAAGGAGAGTGTATGATAGTCTCAATCACTGGTCAAAATTACATATTTGACTTCCCTTTTAATCTCTCTTCTGTTTATGTTAGGATATTATCTTAACCTTGGTTACCAAATTTAATTCGCCTCTTTCAAAATTCAAATCATCCGTTTTATCCCTAAAAAGGAGTTATACCGTTGCGTCAATCAAATCAGCTGCATGCATTCTGACAACCGCATTAAATAGTGTTCATCACCCTTGGGATTATATATTTGATCGGGTTTCTTTTTACTTTGGGGGAAGAGTTCTAAATACTATTTTGCTCTCTGTTATTTGCTTACTGATTCTACACCTAGGGTTTCTCTCTTCTTTTTCCCAAATCGCACGACAATGGCGGATGCAGTGAGAAATATTATCATCAAGCTGGGAAGGAAAATCCATTCACTAGAAATAGCCACGAAGCATGTAAAAACTCTTCTCCAACTCGCTATGAAAAAGAAGTTGAAGCTTGACTCTGTTCTCCGCGACGAAATCATAGTCACAGTGCTTTTAGACTACCCGGAGTTCTATGCGGACTGGTCTGACGATGATACAAGTGATCTTTTGATGTTGGCCTCCGCAGCGAGTGTTGATGTAAGCCCTGCGTCCATTCCTGAGCCCGAAGATGGAAACCGTGCTGGGGTTTTCCTCTAATATTTCGCCCAAAGGGCTCTGGAATCCGAAGAAGTCTCGCGTCGACGGATAGCAGCTCAACCCCTCTATCTTCAAGCTGCACAGGACGAAGCCAAACACCGTCTTGAGATTCTTCGTAACAGGTCTAATACTTCTGACACCCCTATTAAGATTACTCCTGATAAGCCTGATGATTTAATTTCTGATGATATTGAATCTGCTCTGCCTGTTGCGCAATCTGATAATGAGAATGCTTTACTGTCTATGAAAACCTCTGTGTCTGATGATCCTCATCGTTTATCTTCTGAAAAAATTGAGCCTACAAAAGTTGCCTTTAACAGTGATTCTGAAGAAAAAGTTAACCAATCTGATAAGGTAGAAAATTTAAGTCTGGTTGTGTACTCTGCTGATATTGCGAGATCTGCAATTCCTGTTGTGCCTTTATCTGATGCTGCTGAGTCACCGGTTGAGGTTTGCCCGGTTGATGTTTCTCCTATGTTGCCTTCTGAAATTGAGGCTGCCAGACATTCAAGCCCTCGTCCCTCTGACCCGATTGATGGAGTTCCAGTTTATACATCCTCTACCTTGGCTGAGAGCCTTGACCACATCCGACATTTTGCGGGTTTGCCTTCTGCTTCTGTACCGGAACCATATAGAGTTATTCATCCCGAGGATCCCTCTGTGCAGATAGACAGTGATGATGAGAGTATACTGACTGAAGTTTATGGTCCACAAGCCCAGTTCTCTAGACCTCTTACAGTGGAAGCAACAACACATCCAAACTCGACTACTTTCAAAATTCGAGAAGTCTCCAAACTCCTTGGCTCTTCATCTGCCCTTGTGTCAGAAACAAGCCACTCGGTTTCACCAAGCCCAATTGATCATTTTCCATCCTGAGAGACAAGAAAATCTAAACGCAAAGGAGTCCCTGAGAGAGTAGCCGTTGAAACCGGTGATGATAATCTTGATACAGTTCAACCTGAGAAAAGACGACGATCTGCTGAATCAGTAAAAGCGGAAAGTGAACCACCTGTCCAACAGGTGTTCAAAACTCTGAGATCGTCTGTCAAGAACAAGGCTCCTGCTACGGTTTCTACCACTTCTACCGGAAAGATGAAACCCACTACAAGGTCGAGAGGACGGAGTGTCACTCCTGATGTCCAAGCTGCTTCGGAAAATCCTGACACCACAATTTACCAACCTCAGTTTGTTTCTGCTACAGCTCAAGGAAAGTGGTCTACGATGGTTCGACGAGAGCTTATAGTTCAGCGATCGGTTGATGAGAATCAGTTGAACTCTGTATGTGACATTTTACCCTTGCTGAGTGAGGTTGGCCTCATGAAGACTGTCACCTCCATTTACCCCTACTCAAAGCTGCTGACCTACGAGTTCTACTGTAATCTGAATGAAGAAATTGACAATCTTACGGGGACCCGGTGCATGCAGATTTTCATAAGAGGAAAGTGGTATATTTTCAGTCCAGACGTGATTAATGAATACTATGGTTTGAAGGGTGTTGATGAAGAAGAGATTACGGATTGGGATTTGGTTGCAAGGACTGTCACTGGTGGTCAAACTCCTGTATGGCCTACAGGTGATATTGACACTCTGTCTAGCTCGAAGCTTACCTCCAAATATGTTATTTTGCATCGAATTGCCCTCCACAATTGGCTATCTTTTGCCCATTTTCATACGGTTGGCAAGCAACTGGTTGCTCTCCTATTCTGTATTGGCACCAAAATGTCTTTTGATCTGGGGAAGTGGATCTTCTATCATTTCCTCACATTGATTCATCTGAGGGAACAGAAAGTAAGATTGCCTTATCATAATCTCATATTTGGAGTTCTAACGACGCAGGGCCTAGTACCAATGCCAAGTGAGATTATCAGTCCAACTCTGCTTTATACTGTTGATCCACGCCTCTTGAACGGCAAGCACATCCGAGATGTTACACCTGTTAATGCTCCTCCATCATCTGATGCTGACATTCCTGTTGACGACTCGCCACATGCCAAGGATGTTCAGCTATCTCTCCGTCTGAAGGCTCGGGTGTCTGAGCTTGAAACTGTTAATGGCATTATCGCGAAGCAACTCACTGGAGCCCGTACTGATCTTGCCACTATTCTGTTTCGTCTGAGCTTGACTGAGTCTGCTACTACTGAGAATGTGAAGTCTGACAGTGAAGGTCCCTCGAATGCTTAAATGTTCCTTTGTCTATCTTTGGCAAAAAGGGGGAGTGCCTAAACTCAGGGGGAGTTTTTTGTGTGTTTTTTGTTGGACCTCGTATCTTCTGGCCCTGTCTGGGCGTGTGTATGTGATGGCCTCATGCCTTGTGAAGAATGTTACTACTTGTTTTTGTCCAGCACGACTTGTGTGCTGTTATTTTTAAGGGTTGTAATTCAGACTTATGTCCTTTATGCGACTGTTATCTTCGTTTTTTCTCCCTAGTTTATTGTTTTATCTTAGTCGAATTGTTTTGCCAAATAATAACCAAAGGGGGAGTTTGTTAGTGTTTTTATTTTCTCCAAAAACCCCCAACATATAATTGCCAATATTATTATGGCAAACTAAGATAGGGTTTAACGTGGTGTCTGTTTATTCTTACAGAAGACTGATTGATCAGGTTCATCAACAGACGCACTGACACTGAAGATCTGATAAAGGAAGATGTTTCCAAAATGCTGAACGCGGTTTGAGAAGACAGTTTTGGAAAGAAAATCAGCGGATCTGTTTTGGAAGGTATGGACCGAATCTTTAAGATTACTTTCTTCACAATATGTCCTACCATCTACAATCAAAGATATTTTTGGAGAGTGTTCTTACCAAAGAAGTATAAGTATCCTTATTCGGTCAAGAATTAGGGTTATGGTTTTTCAGAAGAAGAAAATACTCTATGCTACACAGAGACAGATATCTTTGATTATCATGCCTCTTCTCAAGATAATAAGTTCTTGGTGATAATGATGAAGAACTTGAGAAGAACTATCGTTGCTTAAACGAAAGGACGCGAAGATCACTCAGTTGTGGGAACAACATGTGACTGCGTCATTGAAGCGGACTGCATCAGAGTTAGCTCTCCAATTGAAGGGATTTCATTGGACTTCTGCATGCGTGGCTCTCCGACTTCAACAATCCACTAAACCTTTGTAGACTGGGTACGTACGTTGTGTGGGGCACTTGGGTGAGATTGTTGTTTCTCTACCTTTGTACATTGGACTATGAGTTAGTGGATTGGACACCTCGGTGATCGTCCCCCAGATGTAAATACAAACTGTATTGAACTGGGTAAACATTGCATGTGATGTTTTATTATCTGTTTTAGTTTTCCTCTATCAACTAATCTGCAATCTATCTAACTGACTGATAATGCACGCCTACGAATCAGTCAGTCCGTTACATCAGTCGAGTATCTCTAACAATAATATTAAATTGAGGAAATGCAAAATTACAGATTCATTTATATTTGTTAAATATAAGATTAGGTCAAGATTACTCAATTTGATTATAATGCATATGGTCCAAACTATTAAATTCAATCAATTAACTAGTCTAATTCAAGTGGACAACCGAGCCATTTTGAATCTCAATTGTTGACCACTTTAAATAGACCATCCCTCTAAAATGAAAGCTACTTTAAATTGACCATCCCTCTAGAATGAAAGCGTGGACACCACGAATAGACAACCGAGTGAACATAATATGGACCGAACAGGTTCTAATACCATGTTAACTTTAAGATTGGATTAATGTCACTCAATTGGACTATAATGCACATGAGCCAAACCACACTACCAATTGAATCCAATCGATTAAGTAGGCCAACGCATGGCCTTCCCATATTCTCGATCTTATTATTATTATTATTATTTTTATGTGGGACTCTTAACAATAATATATGTAAAGTAGGGTTGACTTCAATATTTTTTCTTTCACACCTATATATAGCCTATAGTGAGGGTATTAAAGCATGTAGGTAGAAGAATTGAAGCTCAGGCAGCTTATTTATCCATTCATTGTTATACTAGCTACTGAAATATTAATATATACATGCGTTTTGATATAACGCAACTTGAAGAGTAGACATTTCTGTATTAGTAAATATGATGATGACATCTATATTCAGATTCATAACATCATGAGATCTATATATATTAATATACAGAGTAATAATAAGCATCATGAAATATAATGGTTTACATAAAATGTGGCTTTTCTTTTTGTTTCTACTTCTGTGTTTGGCATTTTCAAAGTCATTTAAGCTCTTTTTCTTTTTTTTTTTTCCCTTTTTAATTTTATAATTTACTTATTGGCTTGGTTATTTGAGTGGGTAAAACATGATTTTAATTTGATTTTGTGTAACATCTTTTCGATTGAGCTTGTCGCATAGGGGATTTTTAGTGTACGTGGCTTACCTAGTGCATGGGTAGTGGTGGTGGATTTTGTTGTTACAAAAAAAAATTGAATAATTATGAGATAATAATTTAGTTGAGTTGTTTGGTGCCATAGCCTAGGCAATAGTTATGCTGTGCAACCGAATGCACCATGCATGGTGCATATATACGATGCAAAACGAGGTCGTTTTGACTAAAAACGCGCGTCCCACTTAAAAAAAAAAATTCAGGTTCGATTCTCGGCAATAGCAATATTGTGGATATATAGTTATGAATTTCTGGATATATATTTATGAATTTCTGGATATATAGTTCATTCGTTGTGGATATTTAGTTCAATCATTGTGGATATTTAGTTCATTCATTGTAGATATTTACTTCATTCATTCATTGTGGATATATAGTTATGAATTCATGGATATATAGTTATGAATTTCTGGATATATAGTTATGAATTTATAGATATTTAGTTCATTCATTGTGGAAATTTAGTTCATTCATTGTGGATATTTAGTTCATTCATTGTGGATTGTTACTTCATTCATTCACTGTGGATATATAGTTATGAATTTATGGATATATAGTTATGAATTTATGGATATATAAAAATGTTATTGCCGGGAATCGAACATGATTTCTTTTTTAAGTGGGACGCGCGTTTTTTTAACCAAAACGACGTCGTTTTTGCATCCGTATGCACCATGCACAGCATAATTTGCGATAGCCTAGGTCCTACCTAGCAAGCTAGCACTCAGAAGAGAAAAATCATATAAGTGTATGGATTGTGCCATTCCAAAATTTTCTACTTTGTTGTTGGTGAAAGTGGAGTTACGTTGTTACAAATGAGGCCTATAGATTAAAAACATTTAGGGGGAATTTGGTTCATGGTATGTAAAATAACAAAGGTAATCCTTTAGAATGTTAATTTTTATGTTTGGTTCAAGTTTTATTACCTTTTCAAAAAATGTGACTTACTTGTCTTATTTTTGAAGGGAATGTAATTTCCTTGTTTTATTTTTGAAGGGAATGTGATTTCTTTGTTTTAGGTTTTATGAGATTTTCTTATATTTGTACTCTTTGCCCTTTTAATAATATATTAAAAGAATAATTTTTTCAATTTTGATGTGATTATTGAGATCTTGTTAATTGTAATTCACCACTTAACTATTCAATTTTTATCAATTTTGATCATTCTGACCAAATCTCACCGAAAAATTTTAATTAACCAATTAATTTTTAATCTAAGCGCAATTTTGTCTTTTAACCATCATCTCCTCCATCTCTGCCAGCATTCCATCGTCAACCTCCAACCTCCCTCCATTCCCGGCGACCTCCGTCACAATTCCAGCCCCACCATCCATGTCAACCATGGATTGAGTAAATTCTTCATCTCCTATCTTGAGTCTTGCCGCGACCATCGGAGAAACGGCGACAACGATAAAGAACAGGAATAATGAGAACATATATTTCCGATGACTGCAATTGGCAGAGATGATTTCTGCAGTCCTCCTCCGATTTCTGGCTTGATTTAGAAATTTGATTTTTTTCTTATGCTTGATTTTTAATTGTTTGAGCCTTGAGTGTCGAATAAAACTGGAAATTCTTGATTGCTTAGTTTCTGATTTCTACCTTGATTCCCTTAAAGCGAATTTAGCAATGGAATTTTTTTATTTTATTTTTTTTTGAAAGAAATTTTTATTTTTGAACATTGAAATTCCAGTGTTCGAAACATTGCAGTTATTCCAGTATATGCATGGGCAGAGATGGAGGGGATGATGGTTAAAAGACGAAATTGCCCCTCAAATTAAATATTAATTGACTAATTAAAATTTTCCGGTGAGATTTGGTCGGCAATTTAACCGGAGTGACCAAAATTGATAAAAATTAAATAGTTAAATTACTAAATTAACAGTTTTAAAAGTCGTGGATTGCAATTAACAAAACCCAATGGTCATAAGACCAAAATTGCAATTTACTCTATATTAAAATGTTTAATTTTTAATCAATATGTCATAACATATTTAAAATATTAAAATAATTAAATTCAATAAAATATTAAAATTATTTCTTTAATTGATTAAATTTACAAAATAATTACTCCGTATTATATAAATTAGGGTGTGTTTGTGTGTGTATATTCCCAAATTCATTCCAAAAAAAAAAAAAAAAAAAAAAAAAAAAAAAAAAAAAACACGCACAAACACACGCGAGAAAGAAAATAATCTTTTAATATATTTGGAGGAGAATGTAAATTCCCATCTCTTTCGTAGGAATCTATATGTTCCTTAGACGTTTCTTAGAGAAAAGAAGAGAAGTCATAGCCAAGAGTCGCCTCGACTGAGGGACTCGACGAGTAAAGAAAGAAATCAAGATTACGACCCTTAGACGTTTCTTAGAGAAAAGAAGAGAAGTCATAGCCAAGAGTCGCCTCGACAGAGGAACTCGGCGAGTAAAGAAAGAAACCAGGGTTCCGACCCTTAGACGTTTCTTAGAGAAAAAAGAAAAATTACAGCCAAGAGTCACTTCGATGGGTGAAGAAAAAGGGGCTCGAGGTCAGAGGGTCACCTCCACTGAAGCGGTCGGTCATATGGCAAACGAAAAGAAGTCATGAGGATGGAGTCGTATGGAATCTTGAATAAAAAGTCGGCAAAAATTGGCGTGGCCGATAAAGTGAACCTTGAGGCGAGACAATATACTTTCCCATGCCCTGCTGAGTGCGAGACATAGAAAAGTGAGAGACTGGTGATGGATACCCGATATTTGGGCCTAGTTGGACCACCTAGCCCCGATTGCCCCATCTAAACCCGATCA